GGGAGAAGAGAGGATAGGCAAAAACCTACCTAACAGGTACAATGAACACCACCTGGGTGACGGGCACACTTATAACCCTGACTCAAGCATGACAAAAGCAATCCTTGTAACCAAAAACATTTGTACCCCCATAATACATTGAAATTAAAAAAAAAAAGTACAAGTCTTCAAAAACAGAATTCCTGTCACTTTTGATATTAAGTAATTCACAAAGGACTCTAAAGCCAAATTTTAACCAAAAAATATGTTCACAGCACATTGATCAGTATGCCCTACAGAGAAAAACAAATGTAGTTCCTGCCATAGTAAAAAGGATTTTACATGGTAAAAGGGTTATTAAGTATGAATAGGAATGTATATATACACACACATTCAATTAATATTTCTGCTGGGTATCAAATTCTATGAATTTTGATACTATGAGATAACAGTGATTATAGGGTAATGATGGTTGTGGTATTAAGTTAAAATTAATTTCAGAATATGTATTATGTTTATAATTTGACCTACATAAGAAATAATATAATACACAAAAATGAAAGGATTGACTATAAAAACAATGTACTCAATCAGAACATATTAATATAAAAGGCTTCTGTGGGCCAGGATTGAGTGTTTGAATAATGACCCTAGAAGCAGAAGTTTCCTAAAATTGGCTGAGTACTAGATTACATTTTGTAAGATCGTATTTGTGTTATGCAAAATCCGAGCATCCCTTAAGGCAATGTTAATGTCACAGATACTTTTCAAATTTGAGAATGTAGAAGAGAAGACCCTTGATATAAATGGGACCAAATGTCAAAGAAGACAGTATAGAGAGAGTGTCCAGTTTAAGCAGAAAGATATCATCCTGGAATGAAGCTATATACATCTGACAATCCTCTGCTTCAATTTAGCTTAGGGAACTGACCATTTTTAACCTTATTACCTATGGCAATTCTAAAAAAAACTATAAAAACTCCACTAGTTAAGAGTGATTACACGACAGCATTTAATTAAACATAGAATTTTTACATACAATAAATCTTTAATCATTATGTTTGGAGTGGAAGAGAACTGAAAGATGGCCTAGAAACAAAGAATCGAAGTCGATCTAATGGCTTATTTGACCCTTTTCCTTCCAAGCTCAGGCCCATATATAGAATCTTAGCATTCTCATGAAAAGAAATGCCAGTATGGTGAAAAGCAAGCAAACACAAGAGCACAAATCTTTAACAAAAGAGGGAACATTTGACCCAATGCCTAGTTTCACAGCCCCAACCTTTCTTACTGGGAATGCTTCTCTATCTCTTCTGCTTGTAGTGGGACCCAAAGAGTAGAAGAAGTAGGGGAAGAGACCAGCAGTGAAAGAAAGAGAGAAAAAGAACAACATGCTGGAACTCTCCCAACCAGAAGCAGGACCTAGTGCAATCTAATCGTCAGCCTCAGGAAACAAAATTGAGAGAAGGAAGCAATACTATTTATACTATGGGCCAGGGAAAATGTCCATGCCTCTGATCTAGGAGTGTGTGTATATGAGCAGGAGAGAAAGAGATGAAAGAGCTACAAAAAAGATCAGGAAGAGCTGGAAAAAGGACCCCTTGACATTCCTCTTCCCCTTAGAGTTCAGGAATATACTATGACAGCTGTTAGACCTCTCTGAAACCTCTAACAACATATATTATATTTGTTTCTGACATAATCCAGAAGAAAACATGCTAAGGAGTCAGGAAACATTAAAGGAAAGAAGTTATAAAAACAAAGAAATAATAGAATGTAATTTGGTGAAAATCTAGACCAGACTTCATCTTCTATGTTATATGCTTTGATTTAATGCAGAAATTATTGCATCCTCAGCCAGTCAACAGGTGAAATAAAGTTAGAGAATATTTCCTTTCCGAACTATATAAAGACGAAAGCTTATCTCCAGAACATTTTTTAGGAGTAACAAAATATTTTGAAAAGAAAAAATCTACTTTTTTCTTTTTCCCTATATAATACTTTATCTTACAACTGTTAAGGCCATTTCAACTTTATGCCGCTGTGAGAATATTGAAGATAATAACCACAAATTACCCTGCAAACCAAAGACAGGATTATTTCATTAATTCAGCCATTAAGTATTGAAAAGCTACTTTGTGCCACATACCATTTTAGGTGGAAACAGTCCATTTTATAAAGATAGGCCTTTTTACTGTAAATAAAATTTAGTCTTTCAGGTACTTCATTTTATCTCGTTTATAATTATCTCAAAGATTTGAGTTGATTCCAGTACTTACTAGTATTAGGAACACTTCTACACCTCCATTTCCTCATCTGAAAATGAGGATAACATTACCTCTTTTTATATTGCATTTATGAGGATTAAATGAAATAAAATATGTAAAACTGGCCCTTAAACTATTAAGGCTTTTTTAAAAATACAAGATAAAATAACAAGGAAGTGAGTGTGAAAAGTAGAGTAAATAGGAAGCTGAGTTAAAAAAAGAAACAGTAAGAAAGGTTGGGGCTGTGAAACTAGGCATTGGGTCAAATGTTCCCTCTTTTGTTAAAGATTTGTGCTCTTGTGTTTGCTTGCTTTTCACCATACTGGCTTTTGTTTTCATCAGAATGTTAAGATTCTATATATGGGCCTGAGCTTGGAAGGAAAAGGGTCAAATAAGTCATTAGATCAACTTTGATTCTTTGTTTCTAGGCCATCTTTCAGTTCTCTTCCACTCCAAACGTAATGATTAAAGATTTATTATATGTAAAAATTCTATGTTTAATTAAATACTGTCGTGTAATCACTCTTAACTAGTGGAGTTTTTATAGTTTTTTTTAGAATTGCCATAGGTAATAAGGTTAAAAATGGTCAGTTCCCTAAGCTAAATTGAGGCTAGTACATATATCACAGCACTTTGCTTTCTAGGAAATGATAATTAACTACAAAATTCACTATCCATCAGCTAAAAGTAAACTAGCTGTTCAGAAGATGCAAAGGTATTTCTGGCCCTAACACCTGAAAGAAATTTCTCCCTTAGGCCCTCATAAAGAAGACAATGTGTAACATAATGTTCTCAACAACATCCCCACTTATAAACACAATATTTTTCACTAGATAATTATATAACACTATAGCTAAAACACTGGAATAAATCTGAGCCCCAAGTAAGCAGAACTTACTATAGTAAGTTCTATTACTTAAGTTCTATTACTTAATCAATGGTCTGACATAGCAGATAACTGCCCTCTTGATAACATTCACTGACACCTTCAAAGTATGAATCAGGCTATTGGGATATATATAAATTTATGAGTCAAGTCAGTTTTAGGAGTATCTACATTAAATTCTCATATTTCCTGTCTGCCACTTAGAAAGTGGTATAAACTTGTGGTTAAAGCCAAGAAAACAGGAACTAGATTCCTGTATTTGTATCCTACGTTTGTCCCCCAAAAGCTATGGGAGTGAGTTTGGGCAAGGTACTTAATCACTTTCTGCCTCTGGAACCTCCTATATAAAATGAATGACTAATGAATTTATATATTAAATATATTCCATTAGCCTGATTCATAGAAGGTTGGAAGGTATCAGTGAAAGAGGGCAGTTATTTGCTATGTCAGACCTTTGATTAAGTCATAGAACTTAAGTCATAGCACTTACTATAGTAAGTTCTGTTTACTTGGGGTTCAAATTTATTCCAATGTGTTAGCTATAGTGTTATGTAATTATGTAGTGAAAATAATAATACCTACCTTGTTGTTATAAAAATTAGATAAGCTGCTATAAAATTAGATCAATTAACGTAAAGGGCTTAGAACAATAGCTTGCTATTAGTGTGAAAAAACAGAATTAGCACAAGTTAGTTACTTTATACAGTTAACTATTTAAATGAAAAAAGCCTATTTAAGAGTTTATTTATACTGACTTCCTTTAAACAAAAAGGCTTTAAAAACCCAATACTGCATAAGCACAATGAATCTAGGTTTTTGGGTGGTATGAAATACTGTGCTTTAGTGATGGTTCAAAAAAAAGTGTATATATGCAAAAAAAAAAAAAAAAAAAAGAAAAGAGTACATATATATTGCATGACTCATACATATTTTACTTCCAGGACCTCTAAGCAGTATTGCTCTTTTGTTGGTTATGTTCTTCATCTCCATTATACTGCCACACAAATACACAGATGATACACTCATAGCTAACATCTGTTTTAGAAAAGTTAATTTTATTAGCTGAATGGACTGAAAACTGTTAAAAAATCAAATTTATATAATTTCTTAAAAAACATGTCCAGTCAAATTCACAGAATTCATAGCCTTGAATTACATAAACAAGAGGCTACCTGGGTTCAAAATAATTGAATCTGACAGGCAACGCATACTTACTTTCGTTGCAGCAGGAGGCAGTAATCAACTATGACAGGCACCATGTCCTGTAAAGGAACCATAAAGAAAGCATCAGCCCCATACCCCGTTCAATGGCCTATTGATAATGAAAGAAGTCTGCTTAAGATGCTGTTAGATTGTTGGGAGGATATAACTTTGTACCATGCTTTTGGCAAGTAATTTGGCACTCTGTGTCAAAAGTCTTAAAAATATGATAACACTTTGATCCAGTAATTCTGTTTCTGGAAACTTATCCTAAATACATTTAAGAAAAAAAAATTTTTTTAATGCATTAGGGTATTCATTACAGCTTTATAACAGAAGAAGCAAGAAAAGGAAGGGAACAAGAAGTGGGAAAGAGAAAATAAGAAATTTTAATTAAACTGAATATACTACATGGGAAAATTGTTAAGTAAATTTAGCTATTTAAATAAAATATGTGTATAGCACAAGTTTATAAAGAGTTTACAATAACATTAAAACAAAAACTAGGTGAAAACATGTATTTATCTCTCAGATCTGTAAAGAAAACTTGCAAAGAAACAAAATACATCAAATTGATAATAGGATATAGTTGGTTCTATTGGTGGCTCAGGTGATTAAGGCTGTACATAATTTGAAACAATCCTCCAAACCAGCTATTTTAATTAAAGTTGATTTAATTTCTCAGTTTCATAATATTTTGAATGCTTTAAATTCATTATGAATGGACTCATATCAAGTAAATGGCAACCCATAATTTTGGCCCTTTTCAAAGGAAAGAGTTTGAGGGAGAAACAGTAGCTTATTATGACTTAAAACTGTCAAGTAACCAAGCATCAGATTTCAGCTGTACTCTCATTTTCTTCTGGCTCCAGGGAAATGGTTTCCTTTTTTAAATCCTAGAAGGGTTAGGTTCTAGGCAGAAACAAATCCCATCAGGAGGGAGGAAATTCTATGTGAAAAAGAGCACTACATACTAACACCTGTCTGATAAAAAGGTCAAAACTAAGAAACCCTTATCATTTGAGAGAGAGGTGTCTGAAGAAGGACCTACAATCCTGAAAGGATTACAGGGCTACCCCGACCCGTCTGCTTCCTTAAGTCATCAATATTCCTCGTGACTAGATTTATAATCTTACTTAGATTCTTCAAAAATAGGAACTAAAATCACAGATTTGAGAAGTGTTAGAGCTGTATCAAATCTCAACCCTGAATGAGAATATAGTGGGCTAGATAAAGGGGGAGTGGGAACCTCCCTAGAAATGCTGAGGAAAATTTGATAAACATCCTTTAAAACATACAGCTGAGCTCCCAAGAAAGTAAGGGCAATACAATACCCAGGGTCTAAAAGTAAACAGGACTGAAAACCAAAGGAATAAGCTCCACATTGTCACGTGTCACTGTCACTGATACTATCCTATAGGTTCGTTGGTCACGGAAGCACTTGAGTTTCAATGCCAGAAAGAAGCTGAAGCCTTAGACCCCTGTAACACGGGGAACTGAAGAGGAGGACTTGCCTAAAACCAAGATTCTTAAAAGCTGCATCCTCGGTGAAAGAAAATTAGGAAAAAAATCTGTCTATTGGCATAGGAAGATGACAAGGAAGGTTTTCTGTCTCAGTCTGGACTCAGTGGGGGTAAATTTGTACTCTCCAAGAATCTGTAATCAAGACCCTGTCCATAGGTGGACTTGGGATTTGAATTTATACTATCTTCTCAGTGTGGAAAAAACTGAACTAAGAAGTTAACCTAAAAAGTGATCCTGAAACAGGATACTCCTGGGGTACGTGAAAGAAATGAACTCAAACACTCTCCAGCAATAGTTCTGAACACAGGCAAAATAAGTACTACTGACAAAGCCCCATTGAAGATGTGCTAAAAATAAAAAATTTGAAAGTACCTCATGAAA